TAGTCTCGTCTTAGTCATGGAAAAAATTTTGTCAATAGTTTGTTGACGAAATTGATGATGGGCATCATGACTGGGTAAGATTAAAAAATATAATACATTACTCATCTACTGCAATGCTTCTCCTCAGATCCAGAGTACAACATGTGGGCTGTGGTTCCATGGGCTCTGCATTGGAAAACCATAGTTGTTAAACACATTTCGAATGCGATATTATAATGTTCGAATGTAAAAAACTAAACAAAAAAACGACGGCAACAGCAGCGCGACTCTCTGCTTTGAGGGTGAGCGCGGGCCTGAGGTCAGGGAGAGGTCACAGGTCACTGCTGGCAGTTGACTCACGTGGAAGATGGCAGAAAGTGCAGAACACAGCTTGACCGCAGCAGAGAAAGTGATTGTAACCCCCAAAAATCTAAATGGTCAGTTGATGGTAAACTTGCTGAGCCTGCAGCTAAAGTAGTGTGTATGCTATGTAAGCCAGAGTTAGCTTACCCTTCAACAACTAGCAACTTGAGGCTATATCTCCAAAATGTGCACCCAAGTGAATATGGCATAATATGTCAAACGTCATCGAAACACCCACATCTTGATACATATTTTGCACCGTCCGCCACAAGTTTGTTGTCTGCGGCACAACAGGAGGCATGCACACAAAAATTGATTTTGTTCATATGCAAGGACATGAGGCCGATCAGTGTGGTGGAAAGGATAGGCTTCAGGGAGTTCTGTGAAGCACTGGAACCGAGGTATTGTATCCGTGGAACAGTCACCAATAGAATCGTAGAATTGTATTTCTTTCATGCATAGAGGTCACTACAGTGGACAGCTTTTCAAATGTTGTTTTCTAGAGATGCTCCGATCTGATCGGCGTTCTCAAAACGGCCGATCAAATTTGGCCGATCAGATTTTTTTTTTTTTGAAAAGCTTGTGATTGGCTGTCTCTCCACAGGGTTCTTACACATTTTGACCAATGAATTTCCATGACTTTAAACCAAATTCCATGACCAAATATTTAGTGAAATCTCGGTATATACACATGAAAAATTGAGAAAATGTAGTGTTCAAACTAACAATGAGGATTGTAAATAAAATGACATAGGCCCTTTGAGTCAACACGCTGGACAACGTTAGACTCTTGAAGTGGGGCGCGAGCCCAAACGAGCAGAGATAGGAGCATTTGCTTTCGCCACAAGCAAATTGCGCCGCGATCTGGCTATCAGGGAACATCCGGCGAAGGAGCTGACTGACATCTTCGGATGACTTAAAAGAAAAATGCGAATTGGCAACCTTCAGTGCCCACATTACCTCCGCGGTGAGAATGTCATTTTTCGTAACCGCGCCATCGTTTAACGTCGTCTGCTTGTTGGCCGAAGCAAGCAGCGCACTCGGCGTAGCACTTGCCGTAGCCGCTGTAGCGAAAAGGACGGAGATAGGGGTCACTGTCGCTCCGCTAGCAGCAGCGCTCCGATGTCGGCTCCCCTTCGCATGGCTAGTTAATGCCGCCTCACCCATGTTCGAAATGTCAAAAGATTTGCCTCCACACAACCTGCATTTTGCTCTTCCCGGGTCTTGGTCGGTTGTAATCCATGCTGTGAATTTATCCAAAAGCAGCCAAGCATTATTAAATCGACATTTTCCTGGCATAGTGAATTTTACCGTTGACGAACAGAGCTACTGTTATAACTCAGGAAAGCGAACGGCATGTCACGTGTTACGGTGCGTTCACTCGCAGCGCGAATAATTGACATTGCGAGTATGAGAGCGTATGCCTGCTTATATCTTTACTTCAAATCAAATTAAATGATTTAAAATTCAGCGTAAATGAACGACAAAAATATGAATATAACACATTTCCATGACTTACCATGACTTTTGGGATTTTATTTTTTTCCATGACTTTTCCAGGCCTGGAAATGAGCATTTCAAAATTCCATGACTTTTCCAGGTTTTCCATGACCGTACGAACCCTGTCTCCATGTTATTAAATTTCATTGGCCCCCGTCTTAAGTGGCGGGTAGGTGAAACCACTGAGACAAAATGGCTTCGCCGGTCTGGCAATATTACAAGGTGTCGGAAAAAGATAATAAATTTGCAGTTTGCAACGTCTGCTCAAAAGTAGTTCCCCGTGGAGGAACGCGTCAAAGGGGTTTCAACACCACGAACCTCATACGGCATTTGAAGGCTTGTCACATTAAGGAATTTGAGGAGTTTACGAAGTTGGCGAGCGTTAAGGCAGATAAAGTCAAAGAGCGTGCAACCTCTTCCCAAACTCCACTCACTCAGCTGACCGTAACAGAGACATTGAAACGACAGCAACCATACAGCAATGACAAGAGACGAAAGGAATTAAATGCAAAGGTAATGGAATTCATATGCCTTGATCAGCAGCCGCTGTCTGTTGTGGAAGACGCCGGGTTCAAACGCCTTGTATCCTGCTTGTATCCACGCTATACGCTGCCGGGCCGAAAATACCTAACTGATGTTTGTCTGCCGGAATTATACCGAAATGTCTACACGCACATCGAGAGCCTCACGAAGGACAACATCAGGGCAGTTAGCTTCACGAGTGACATTTGGAGTTCGAGTGTCTGTCCTGTGTCTATGCTGAGCCTAACTGCGCAGTTTATTAAGCAGCACGAGTCTTCCTCTCCGCACCTTGTACAAGTGTAGATAGCGAGCGACTTTTCAGCGCAGCAGGACATATTTTAGATGAGAAGAGGAACAGGTTTTCTCCTAAAAATGCTGAGATGCTTATATTTATCAAGGCAAATCTGCCAGTGATGCTGCTTAATCAGAAGTAAGGTTTGAATACTCTAGTATGCCCCCTCTCCGAGTGAGTTGAGTGAGTGAAGTATGTGAGTGAGTGAGACACTATACAGATAGATATACAGGTTGTTTAATTGCTGACTTCCTGTGCACCTTTAATCTTTATTCTGTCTGTTATTTCCTCCTATAAGCTCCAAGTTCTATTGAGAGCCTCTAGAGAGTGGAATGTTGCACATGTCATTCTATTGTTGTGATTTTCATTTAAAGATTTATATTTTTATTATTGTTTTAATATTTATTATTATTTACACATTTTATAGTAAGCGAGAGAGCTTTTCTACATTGGAATGTTGCACGTTCCCTGCAATAAAACTGATGGTTGTCAATTCATGATACTCTCTCGTCTCGTAATTTAAATACTTAAAATACAAAACCAATGTTGTTAAGAATAATTCATTTCATAAATAATGCTACACAATAAATAGAATTAGGGATGCACCGATCCACATTTTTTCACTTCCGATCCGATCCCGATACCTAAATTTGACAGAAAAAATTCTGAAAACAAATTTGAAACTAAGGGTTTCAGATTGATTGTCAATATTTATTTAATTTCATAAATGTCAAATACTTGAGTCTTAAAAATTTAGAAATATGAAAAGTGCAAGTGTGAACATCTTACACACACACATACACACTTGACACAGTCTCACTCACTTGTTCACAAAAATAACAGCACAAATCAAGTAAACTGACTCTTGTATCATGAACAACATGTCAAATATCTGAAGAAAAGTGCAATAAAATAACTGTAAACATCTTACACACATACACACTTGACACAGTCTCACTTACTCATTCTCACACGCAATCACACTTACTCTCTCTCACACACACACACGCAATAAGTTTTAAAACAGTGTGCATCAGAACAGCGCTTAAGATGACCTGGAATAAACTAAACACCAGAGTCGAACTATTCTTTAAAAGAAAACAAAAATTGAATGTCTCAAAGTTGACTCTGAGGAAGTGATGTAGTGTTCAACAAATCTTACATCGGCAGGTTCTTCTTGAGGAATATGAGCATTTCTGCTCTCTCTGCAGTTAGACGATTCCTTTTTTCATCCACGATATTGGCTGCCGTGCTAAACAGTCTAGCCTCAGTGCTATCCTGCTAGCTGGCTGCAAACTGTGGAATGGATTCCTGAACGGAGGCGCGGCTCAATGAGACAGTTATGAGACATGCTCAGGAAATCCATTCCACAGTTTGCAGCCAGCTAGCAGACTATCAGGCGGGGATCACTTTTGGAGTCATTTCACCAGACGACGTTAAAGCGCAGACATGGCTCATTGATATCGGAAATCTCCAAAGGTTGTATCGGAAAATCCGATACCCGAATTACTCTGGTATTGGGTCCCGATACCGATACTGGATCGGATCGGCCCCATCCATAAATAGAATGCTTAAATCGACACCGTGATCGGTATTATCGGATCGGCAGATACTGATTTCAGTGATCGGTGATCGGCACCAAAAAACCTGATCGGAGCATCTCTATCGTTTTCTTGTATTTGCATGGGTTTGGCATAGTTATGCATAAGCCACTATCGCTATTGCATCGTCCCAAAAATTGCCACTGAGTGGTGCAAGATAAAGTTCTCAAAACCAAGCTGGCTGGCAGACAGTCAGAAACGTCCAGTTGGGTATCTAGAACCGGTGCCATATTGGTACTTCTTTACTTCCATTCCACCCCTTTGGGCATGAAACACAAGGGCATCTATGGCACAGGTACATGCAGAATCAACAGGCTCCATGGAGCACAACTGAAACTGCAAAAGGAACTCAAAAGGAAGGAAGAGGAGCTTGCTGTTGTCAACAATGCTCAAAACATCAGTGTCACACGCTGGTTAGACAGTCCAGTGATCCACATAGCCTATTCCTGCACTGGCCAGTCCCCACCAAATGTGGCCCTGAGATGGAGCAAGAAAGAAATGAATATGCACCCAAAGGCCATTTTCTGTGAAGCTGTGATAATCAGAATATGGGAGAGAAGATCTCATGGATCATAATTAGGGCTGCAACTAACAACTATTTTTGTAAATTGACTATTTTTTCGTTTAGTCGACTAATCTAACGATTATTTAGGGATCACAGCACCTCAGACAGAATAAAGAAATCAAAGACAAAGATGTGGTTCACCCACAGACGGGTGGACATTCCTAGCGACAGCATCCTATGTAACAGCCCATTGGATTAATGCGGATTGGAAAATGCATAACAATGTGCTAGGAACAAAAGAGCTTCAGGTAAAACACACTGCAGAGAATGTAGGCAAATGGATTCAAGAGATCTTGGACGTTTTTGACATACAAAGTGGATCTGTGATTGCCATCACAAAGGACAATGCCACTAATTATGCAGTGGAGAGACATCTTCAAACAGTAAATATACCATGTGTGGCGCACACAAGTTTATTGTGTGCGCCACAAGTTGTGATGTGCGTAAAGGGCTCGGGGTCAGAGCCATTGAAATCCCCGTTAGTAGGCTGAAAGTGGCGGCCTCACATTACAGCAAATCTTCCGTCAACAGATACCTCCTTGAGCAGAAACAACAACTATTAGGATTGAAAATAGAGAAGCTGATCAACGGCTGTCCAACGTGACGGAACAGCACATATGAAATGATCTGCCGTGCATCGGAGCAGCAAGCAGCTGTGTCTGCTGTCGTCTTCGAGAAAAAACTGTCAAGAATGGAGCTGACCCCAAGCGAATGGTCCCTAATGGAAAAGGTGAGCCTAGTGTACGAAATATGTACCGTAATAGGGTGGACAAATGCAAAACTGTCCTAAACATTGTTTAAATAGGTAGAATGATGGCCCTAATTTACTGTGTGTGAATGATATTAATACGATGGATAAATGCAAACCTATCAATCTAATATCAACGCATATTATATTTACTTATTTATTGCAGGTGCAAGAAGGTCTCATTGTATTAATTTGTCTTGTTATTGACATAGATTTGAATTTCTGGTTGCGCATTAGGCTATGTGTTTTTTTAAAGGGAATATTCAAACGTCATTTTTGACAACCCTACACGATACGCCCACTATACACCAGATGTCTTAGTTCACCCTGAACCAAAACGTTTCCGAGATACTGACAATGAACAATAGGATCACAAATAAGGAAAACAATGAGGAATTGTTCAAGCTCGAGTGGTCGACGGCGTAGCGCAGCCGTCTTGAAACGTATTATTATTTTGCTCGACAGGGTTCGAATCCAGGTTGTGTCGATCTTTCATTAAATATATTTTCTTAAATTCATTTCTTCACACGTAGCAGAGGCGTAGTGCTCACTTATACAATCGTAATCATTGCAATGGATATGTGATTCGTTCTGAACATTCTCAGCAATCTGTTTGCGAATGTGTGACGAATCAGGTGACACAAGCAGACAACATCTGCCGCTGTTCGGTGAACACAAACACTCCCGTGTAGGCAAACCAGTAGGTTCAAAAACCAGTAGGGACGTAACACCGGCAGCAGGAGTTGAGGCCGTCCTGTGGTTCCGTCCTCTGAGGCCAAACACTGCGTCTGAGATCCTGTTGGTATTCCACCGAGCAACAGCGCCCATCAGGTGAACTTGAGGGGGCCGTGCTGCACAACGGGGACCTGAGAAAAGGAAAAACTTTAATGCCAATTTGTCTTGATGACTCCACACAAGAAAACAGCTAGTACATAAAGACAAACACCATATTAACACGTTCATAAGTTATGTATCACGCAACACAATCTTCATTCATTTATTCAATGCTTCACACACCAAAGACATGGTGTCTTTTCATTTATTGTACACTTGATGGCGAAGTAGAGAAAATAAAGCACCATGAAACTGTGTGACACGATTGGATGGAAAGCTTCCATGCGTCAAGTTTCAACTTACCATTACTACAGCAGACTCATAAGGACATGATATATTGCTTTGAGTCTTCCAGAGACTTGATGCAGAGGAGCACAAAAACTGCTTCTCCCATCCCGGATTAAATCACCATGATAGGTTTTTCCTTTGACATGTTATCAGGGGAGAGCGCGAACGCAGTCCCCCACTACCAGAAATTATGCAATCGAGATTCCCACATTTGGGGAATTCGCAGAGGTCAGCTCAACCGGAGTGCAATGGCTAAGCCTCGCCCTGGGTGAACCACCTTCTTGATCATGGTATCTCCCTTGCCAGGTAAGTATGAGTTGTACACATCAGAGTCAGGGGAGTCTTTCACACACACACCAAGCTGACCGATGGTGCCGACCATCACGACAACGGAAACACACACTAGAAGAGCTCCAACAACCTACAGGAAGTTCATGTAGAATAAAGTCGTATTCACCAGGGAGGACAAAGATAATATACATTTTACTTGAGAAACGATGCTCTCATTTCCCATGATGCAATGCTGTATTTTCAAAACAACAAATATAAAATCGCCAGCTGCATCCATTTATCTCCAACAAATGAGTGACAATTCAACAGAAGGTTCACGTGAGACAAAGCAAAACTGCAATCAAAAGTTATTTGATCCTCATCTGGAATTCAAAGGAAAGAATACAATTACAAATGCGTTCTTTCATTTCAACCACTTCCTGTTCCTTTGTTTACTGCTTGTGCTCTACTGACACCTATTGGTCTGGAGTAGTAGTCACACTACACGTTTCTCATAAATACAATTCAATTAAGAACTGGACATGATTGTGTGACACCCACCAATGTGTTTACACACGTGTGTCAATGTCTGAAGTGAACAGTATATTGTATAGAAATGTTATAACCAGGGAACTGAAATACCTTGTTGTATGGAATAAAGATTCCATCCTGTAGCCAGCAGGGGGCAGAGTGGCGCTCTGTTTTGCTCTAGACTGGCTTTACGGCAGTGAAAGAATTTGCGACCGTAACGTCACGAGTGACGTTTCCTCATTCTGCTGAGCGAGGCGCAATGACAGACGTGTAAGAGCTGTGTGTCATTTGTGTGTCCGGTCTACAGAATCACATCATCTACTTGGTACCAATCCTGGTACCTGTAACAATTACCTCCATGATGACTGATTGTTGTGTGTTACATTAGATACAGATCAGACATATTGAAGAAATGACAACTGATAATTCAGCTATTTCTTAATAAAACCGCGGACATTCCGTCTTGATGCCGTAGACACATACATCAACTATCAAATACACCAACGCACACTGTTACTGGGGAAGTTATTTTAGACACGTTTGGGGGGTGCACCGTTCCTGGAGGTACTGCAATACCAGGTCGATGCGTGGAGTGGACGGAGCAAGCCCCTATTCCATCTCCCTATTCCAAAAATCAATTTAATATATGGTCCCCGGGTAGGGGACGTATCAGATATTAAACTGATAAGAACAGATACTACACTTGATCTTAGCCAAAAGGCCGAGAAGCGATAGCGACATCACGTCGGAGATGAGGAAGTCATTCCCCTCACAGACACTCTCACGGATGGTTCGCGGACTGAACTACAACTTTATTAACCCCAAATAAAACAACAAGAGTGTAAAATAGCGACAATGTACCACCGGTACGATTTTGTTTGCGACATTCACGTTAAACTTGTTAAACGTGTGTTTGCAAATGCGTCTCCTTGTTTACTTCCGGACACGTGGTACGCGTCAGTCCAATGCGAAGTAACGTTACAACGCCGATAAATACCACGTCAACTAGCAGACACAATTAAAGAAATTGAGGCCACAACGGAGAGGAGACGTGTGGTTTACATTACACGTGCAGTCCACACTGAAGTTATAAGCCGCTGTAAAAGCAGAATAAGTGCGCAGTAATTACTATGAGTCCCGCTACCTCGACGGGAAAAAGCGCTGTAACAAAGGCGAACAACGTTAGCGGTGTCCACGATACCATCACACATGTGCCTAATTATGTTTGAGTAAAGTGACATTATAAAACCTCCATTATATTACCACGTAAGCACTGCATTGGCATGTTAGTTAAACTGAGAATTAACTAGTACAGTGTGACGGTAACTAACGTGGAGCCGAGTCCTGACGTATCGTTAACCGTCAGTTAGCCGCTTATCGCCATGTGGTCATGGAGGTGAAGCACCTTCAACCTGCAGTTATTTCAGCTTCAAGTCACTTTAGACCAAAGCTCATTAATTCACTAGTTAAAACCAACGAGCCATTGATGAATACGAGTGTTGCCACGACCCAGTTTACATTACGCAAAGCTAAAAACAAGACAGTTTAGTTTGATATGCTAATTAGCAGCTAGCATTAGTTTAGCTAACAGTTAGCTAGCTTAATCAAAGAACAGGTGCTGCAGTGAAATAGACCCTTAAATATACGAAAACAAGTTGGCTTCGTTAGAATTGTTAACTTAATAGTGTACACGTTATTATTCCTACAAGAATGGTCTCTTTCTTGAGTCAAAGGGAACTTACTGAAAGTAGTCTTGGTGAACGCTGGTGGGCGACGTGTTCCAGTGGGAGACAGCAGCGGTGTGTTCGGTGCGCTTGACCGTGTGCACAACGAGCTTTAGCTGTTAGCAGCTAGCTTTAGCCCAATTATCTACACACACCTTTGTTTTAGCAAAGTGCACATTGACATATACAACGTTTTCCTGTTAGGGAATCCTACATATTATTTGACTCACATAGAAGTGGTTATGAAAAATAAATAAATGCACACACAAGATTCAGAACAGACAAAAACGAGAGCTCAGGGTATTTTTTAAGATTCACAAGTTGGTGCTCAAAGCATAAGACTGTGCTTGATTCCATCTCTCTCCCTAAATGAGCCGCTCTTTGACCCTTGCATGAAGCAAAACAATGATTATTTCTCTGATTCGCTGCATCCACCTGTCAAGAATTAGGAATCAGAAATCAGGAAACATTTATTGCCAAAATATGTCAGACATACAAGGAATTTGTCTTGGCGGTTAGTGCGTGACAGCAGACAGTGTAACAATAGACAACAAGACAGCAGTGCACAAGTAATAAAATAAAGTAAAATGAAATGCTAATGCAATGGGTTAGTAGAATAAGGCTATGGGTTAGTATAAAACTAGAGAATAAAGTTAAAAATGTAAAATATTAAAAAAGTTAAAAAATATTAAGCATAAAGTGCACAGTCACACAGGGTGATGGGGGAGGGTGGGGCTCTGTTTCGCCGGAAATCCACAACCATCTCCACTGTCTTTAGAGCGTTGAGCTCCAGGTTGTTCTGGCTGCACCACGACACCAGATGAGGAATCAGGAAACATTTATTTACCAAAATATGCCAAACATACAAGGAATTTGTCTTGGCGGTTAGTGCGCGACAGTAGACAGACAAGACAGCAGTGCACAAGTAATAAAATAAAGTAAAATGAAATGCTAATGCAATGGGTTAGTAGAATAAGGCTATGGGTTAGTATAAAACAAGGGAATAAAGTTAAACATTTTAAATATTAAAAAAGCTAAAAAGAAAAATATTAAGCATAAAGTGCACTAACGAATAAGTAACAAAGTGACGAGTGACGACAAAGTGCTGAATTGCAGTTAAAGTGGCATGTGCAGTATGAGGGGGAGTGACCGGTGCAGTGTTATAGTCAGGCAGTGGGGGACCGGCTCTGTTGATGAGCCTGACTGCCGACGGGAAGAAACTGTTCGCGTGGCGGGAGGTCGTAGTCCTGATGGACCTCAGCCTCCTGCCAGATGGAAGGGGCACAAACAGTTTTTGTCCGGGGTGAGAGGGGTCGGCCACGATCTTTTTAGCACGCTTCAGAGACCTGGAAGCGAACAAGTCCTGCAGGGACGGCAGATTGCAGCCGATCACCAGAGGATGGACTCGATGATGGCCGTGTAGAAGTGGACCTTCATCGTCTTTGGCAGGTTGAATTTCTTCAGCTGCCTCAGGAAGAACAACCTCTGCTGAGCCTTCTTTGTGATGGAGCTGATGTTCAGCTCCCACTTCAGGTCCTGGGTGATGATGGAGCCCAGGAACGGAAGGAATCCACAATAGTGACGGGGGAGTCACACAGGGTGATGGGGGAGGGTGGGGCTCTGTTCCGCTGGAAATCCACAACCATCTCCACTGTCTTCAGAGCGTTGAGCTCCAGGTTGTTCTGACTGCACCACGACACCAGATGGTCAGACTCCCACCTGTAGGCGGACTCATCACCACCAGAGATCAGTCCAATGAGGGTGGTGTCATCCGCAAACTTCAGGAGCTTGACGGACTGGTGACTGGAGGTGCAGCTGTTGGTGTACAGGGAGAAGAGCAGAGGGGAAAGAACGCACCCTTTGGGGGAAGCGGTGCTGATGGTCTTTTTCCAAAAAGCAACAACAACTAACCTTGAAATATATATCTGTTTGTCATTTTGAACCTCTGTACTGGTTTTTAGGCTGCTTTGTAAATACTTTGCATTTTTTGGTTGAATATGATGCATCTTTTCGGTCAAATTTGGTGCCTTTTTGTTAATTTCTTGCTCGTTTTGTTAATATTACATAGACATTTTTTCTCTTTGGGGTCATTGTTTCTGCTTCTCTTTGGTGTTGCTGCTTCTCTCTGAGGTCGTTTTCTGGTGGCCGGCTGCTCGCTGAGAGATGATTTGCTGGAGTTTGAGCTGAAGGAGTTTCTGGTTAAGCTCAATGATTTCAGTTCGACACGTTGGCGTCAAACAATTGACATATAATTTCTTTTGAGTTACTTTTTTTTTGTTTAACATGTGCTTCTAAATCAAATTAGCTGTATCCATTGATTGTGACTTCTTCACTAGCAGACAGTCCTGCTGTGCACAACAAACCTCCATTCCACCACACAAACGTTGTTTCAGACTAACATAACCATCGGTAACAACGGGACAATTTTTAAAACATTTGTTTTTAAATAAAAGTGCATTCTTTGTACTTGGGCTTCTAAGTTTCTCGTCTAAATATCACAATAATAATAATAATAGAAAACATACCTGCACAATGGCTGGATGCAGAATTCCTGATCTCGTAAGTAACTACTTCTCAAATGCATTTAATTTTGTGGCATTACAACTAGTGTATAAGCCAATCTCGCATCAATATGCCATCTCTATAAGAAGTCAAATGAGTTGGTATTAGCGAATTACCATTTAAAGGAGAGCCTCTATATCTTTAGCAATGTTTAAATAATTGAACTAATAGGACTTGTGACTGCCGTTTAGCTTTTGAAATGTTTTCAATTTTTTTTACATGTTTGATCGTTTCTTATAATGTCATCAGGTATCAATTATCTTGATATTGTTTAACTTATATTTCTTTTTGACGTTTGATTTGGTTGATCTTGCTTATTTATTTATTACTTTTTTTGAATGTTGCTGTATCAGAAAGTTCTTCAGGTTTGATTCTGATTTGAGTGCAGAAAGAAACACGGAGAAAAGGATTTGGTTTCTTGTTTTAATGATTGAACTGACTCACTGACGTGAGCTTTAAAATCAGGAATCAGGAAACATTTATTGCCAAAGTATGTCAAACATACAAGGAATTTGTCTTGGCGGTTGGTGCGTGACAGCAGACAGTGTAACAATAGACAACAAGACAGCAATCTGTGTTTGATGTTTACAAAAGTGAGACCTAAAAGAATGTGTGTGAGTGACCAAGTGTACGCAACTTGCAGGAGGGAATGTGCCGGTGTTTCTCTGTCCGCTCCCCGACATCCGTCCGCCCCCAGGGGAACACTGTACAATATTGAATGGTTGATGTAATTTACAAATTAAAAATACAGACTTTGAATCTGTACAGCATTAAATACAATGAATGAAGAAAAAAAAGAAAATTGGCAGCCTAACGTCTACCAATTACAATTTCAGCTGCTAAGGTTAGAAATAAACTACAACTGGTTCAACACCGAGTCCACATAGAGCAAAGTCTGCATCAGAAGTCTTTAACAGGAGGTCGCGACATTTTTGGTTGTTAAGACATTTTTTTTTTTTAATTAAAAAAAAAAATTCAACCATTTTTTTTGTCTACAGAATCAGACTTGTCTTTATTGTCTTTAAATACACATTAACATGAATCCAGCATGCTGTTGCGAACGGATAAGCGGATCTTCAGTCCGCAATACAGTACACACATTCAGCTTCCCACGGGAGCTCTCTCAAGCTGGACACCGGTACACTCACAGCATCATTTTATGCAAATACGACAGCACAGGCACCATCCAATCAGATTCCATTTACGCTCACGACTAAAGAGCGCAAAGCTAAAAAATAAAAGATGGCGGACCAAACTCCATAGAATAGGGGCTGTAAAGGACCTCTGAGAGAGTGGATCGTTTTATTATATTATTACTTTTTGGTGTTTTATTTTGCGTATTTTGTGACTGGAGTTGGCGTATTTCCGGTTGCGCTTTTATTTTGACGGTTGGAAAACCGGAAGTAAGCGGTTAATAGCGGGAGGAGAAACAAAAATATGTTTAAAAAATGGAAAAGAACGGGAAACAATTATTAAAGCACGGAAAGAGTTACGTTTTATTAGTTTAGCACCCAGTGACATGGGCACAAGGTTAGTATCTTTTCAATTTTGTAAAATATTGTTAACGGGTTTTTTTCTGTTCTGTGTAAGATTCTAATCAGTGTTCATATTTATTTTCCTCTGAGTTCTTACGGTGTTCATTAAAAATCATCAGTTTAAGACTCCAGACCATGATTCAGCCGGGGATGCTACCCCTGCTCCATCACGCCATCAGTTTGGGGGTCTTTTGCCTGAAAAACGTTGAAGACCCCTGTTCTACAGTGACTGTAGACAGTTCCGGGCTATGATTGGTCAACTTGACTGTGGACTTCCAAGTGATCTGATTTAGGAGCCGACTGTGGACTTCCAATCAGATCACAGGAGCCGACTGTGGACTTCCAATCAGATCACAGGAGCCGACTGTGGACGACCATTACCCAAACGATACCGCACGAGTGCCGAAGCTGTAAATTACTACTTCATGACAATTATACAGGCTAATTATCAAGTCTATATTTGACCTATTTACAAGTAGATGAAAGAGATAAATATAACAAGTGTTAACACCAATCAGGCAATTGAGTCCATCTTGAACAATTGTGGCAATTTATTGAGAGCACTGTCCAGCTGTACACAAACATCTGGGTAAAGCACATCCCATCTCTGCAGCTCACTGGTCCTGAGCGCTTTGTTGGTGTGACACTTGTTTTAGTGAGTCCACCTCTTCACTCTGCAGCTACTGATGCATCCGGCTTCGCTGGCCTAGTAACTGGGGATACTCTTCCTTAAAATAAGAGTTGAATGTTTAACAATGGTGCAATCGAGAAGCTGCCCTAAAATAAGGCTCTGAGGAGGAACTAAAATGGACGAACAGTGATTTTTAAGGCTTTTAAGGCTTACTATTTTTAAAATAGTAACACATCTGAAGGCAATAAAACTGAGTAAATTTTCTTTGGACCACAGATTCTTGCCAACATTAGATCCTCTCATCCTTTGACCTCTTCAGTTTGACCATTTAATTCAGGATTGAAGTGGCACAAATAATCATTAGGTTAGGTAGGTTAATTATTACCTCTACCTCGAAGTCTGTATTTTTTGAATGGTCATTATGCATTGCATTGTGATCAACAAATAATCCCACTTCATTGGAGGTATGTTTGGTTCTTAAATGAAACAAATATGTGTACATCAATGGTTGCAAATTAACCATAAACATCAAATGAAATAAACAGCATTAAATACATCTGTAATAGCAGATTAACAACTTAAACACAGTTAAATATAATTAAATCAATGGTTTGGTAGAGATGTGACGACGTTTACTTTGCGTCTCCTAAACTGTCTCTGCCCTGCGGTCACTGCAGTCTATTTCAGGCTGAGGGAAAAACATGTTCTGGTTATTTAAATTCAAATCAGTACAAGCTATTTAACATAACATTAAGATATTACATAATATGTCCAAGCTACAGAAGCTGAATGTCGTCCTCCAGCTTGAAGGCGCTTCCTCCTGCTCCATAAAACAAGACTAAACTTAAATTTAGTTCACGATTACACAAAACAAAGAAAGTTGTTTATTTATTCTGTCACATTATTGACTGATTCTTTGCAAAATTAAAACACTCTTGTTAAACTATGCACAACTTAATCAAAATCATATTTTGTTACCATACGACACACACGTTGCATACGACTTTATTCAGTTTGTACCACACTCACTTTTGGCAATTGTACTTCTCAGCGATTAGAGCAGTGTAAGTGAAGTACACAGAGAAAGTGCAAAACATCGGCCACATTTGCAGTACGATAAGCACAATGTCTGCTCACCCTTTTTGCAAAACAATACAGTGATTTGGCAAAACACTAAAAGACATGTGGGTACATTACACACCACATGACACCACACAAGACCAATGCAGCAGACTGAGGATTATGTAGTTTATTTTTGCCCACTCAAATGTGTCAACATGGCGATTCAAAACAACAAACAACTCCCAGTTTATATGCATCAGACAAACATAACATTGTATCCTGTGCAGTCTGTCTGCAATTCAGCAATTCTGTGTTTGCACACCTGATCGGTCTGTCAAACCCATGTGTCAATTAGTTAGGTAATTTGACAATCAGTGCTTTGCAATTGCAAGGAAGTGACATCTTGATATACCTCCGTGTGTAATATATACAACTGTGTTTAGTGTTTTGCAATAGTCAATCGTAAAAAGCTGTAAAGTGCATTAACACGGAGCACAATCAGAAAAAGAACAGTACCGTATTTTCCGCACTATAAAGGCGCTCTTAAAAGCCTTTAATTTTCTCAAAAAAACCCGTATACCCCGTCCACATCCAGGGGTCCTGATTCCGCGGTGGAATCATCTCCGAGTGACTCCTCTGTAAGTGATATTCACACTGTATGTAAAGTAAATGACATTTCTTTTAAATGTTTCATAATTGGTTTAAGGTTTTAGCAATCTTTTGTTGACAATCATAACCAAATGTTTTGTTTCTGCGTTGCAGGTGGAGCTGGAGGGCTGGGTGCGTTCGTGGGAAAACCCCCATGGTGTCCCATCAGCGGACATATCCTGGCTAAAAGAGGACACAGAACGAGGCCTGTTCACCGCTGTTCAGATATTTAAACACAAATCTGGTCAGTTAAAGAGGCGCCGGGTGATCAAATCCGACCGGATGTGGTTTTATCCACCTGAACCGCCTCGCTATGTGAAGGGAGCTGCGCCAACACCACACCTTTTTTTCCGGAGCCGTGTATTTGTGAGGCGTCCGGTTGGAGTTTGGCGATACTCCCTGAAGTGCCCTCGAGGGGATGACTACGTCGGGCACGGGAGGGATGTGCACCTCTACAAGTCTGGCTTTCACCACCGGGTATGAATCACTGTGTTCTTACTACGTATGTAAACATATGTATGCAAAATATCTGCTAATAATATAATATCTACTACAGGTACGTCACATTTGATGTGTCCGGCTGGTACACATCGGTCACTGAGGTCCTGTGCTGTGGACCCTGCACAAAGGCCGCCAGGAGCGGAGGAGGTGGCACAGTGGGCCGATGGCTCGCATGGGACCGTGCTATTCGATCTCAACTTAGTGAGGCTCATCAAGCGCAGTTCCCTGCCGTCCGCACCAGCAAGTGAGGATATTAAACGTATTGAGTGCATTTAACAGTCTAACTTCAGCGCAATAAATCTCACCACGCTGTGTATGAATGCTGAATGTGTTCGCCGGCGTGGGGTGGATGAGAACGTGGTGCGCCTTCTGAGGGACAGGACAGAAGGCAACACTATGGTCAAGGTGTGGAGGCAGGTACAGGAGAGTCATGTTGAGGAGTATTTTCAACATAAGGACCTGTACACCACACTCCTCATGACCGTAGCTGAACCAGGTGGTATCGTCTCTGCATTAGGCCACGAATTCCAAGCTCCACCTGCTCCGAGAGAACTTCCCTCTGCGCGGCTCTTGTGTCTTCCCTTCCTGCTGAGTCCCACTGTAAGTATGCAGTGTTCAAGTCTGCTCTAGCTGGGGCAGTTTTGGCCCACAACCGCCCGGACCTGGAGCTGCTCATGAAAGCCATCAGAGCCAAGAACCCGGAGAGTCTCGGACGAGGACATTGTCCGCTGCCACATCTCCAGGGATCAGCTCAAGCACCATGTGAGGAGGGTTACACTCGGTGCTCAGGAGACCTTTCGGCTCATCCAGCTGGCCATCGAGGAGATGAAAGGTCCCGTTGGGCTGGACGAGAGCGGAGTTAGCCTCTTCAAAACACCTGATATTAAGCGCCCCATAAAATAGGTTATTACAACATTAATATAGAGTAGCATACAAAGTGAACATAACCTCTGTAAATACACATGCCATGCAGCGTGTATCGGTGAGATGTGGGCAGGCCAGCAGCGACATCTGGAGTGCATCCAGGATCCACCAGGCATGAACATGTATAGGGTGGCGCGTAGCACAACTATCAATAATGTGGACGTGCCCCATTACAAATGTCTGCGTGGAAGCAACAGCCTGGAAGGATTCCACAAATCGCTGCCACACATGATTCCAGGTGATTCCTCGTGTTGTAACAAACTAATCAGGTGACTTTGACAATATTCTAGAGAGAAAGCACAGGCTGAACTATTAATTAATTAAACATAAAACACTTCACTCTACGACGGCAACACATCAGGGAATGTTTCACTGGACAGGACGGTGATGAGAAGAGAAAAAATCTGTAAAAAGTACATGATATTTACCAAAGAGATGTATTGGCTTGTAAGTGTGAAGTAGCTTCAAATGGAAAATGATAAAATATCGTGGACTTAAGTTAATTAGTTAAATAAATGTGCTTGGTTACATTCCAGCTCAAGATGAAGGTTTTACTGTCATGTGTACTTGTGTGGAGTTATCAGGACAAATTGACATTAACGCTTTGTTTAACTTTGTTCTACTCAGGGCCCCATTGTGCAGCACGGCCCCATCAGGTTTACCTGATGAGTGGCATTGCTCGGTGGAATTCAGACAGGAGTTTGGACGCCGTGTTTGGTGGCAAAGGACAGAATCACAGGAAATACTCTGCGCCGCTCATTCACCGCCTCAACACCCGCTGTCAGCAGCTGTTTGGCGAGACTGGAGGAGAATTTCCGGGCCCCCGCCAATGTTGCTTCCAACGAGTTGCTTGGGTTGGAATATTTATTCAGCCAACGCACGGGTGTATCCGAACCCTTTTCCCTGGTGGACATCATCAATGATGGACCTGGTCCAGAGGAGGAGGTGGTTCAGCACGGGCAGCCCGATCCAGAGGCTGACGAGGCGTACCAGAGCGACGGGGAGGCTGGTGGCAACGTGTTGGATGCCATCCTGCCCCACATTAATCTCACCAGCGACGAAACTGCAACTCTTCACCCTCCAGCCTCTGTGAGTAAATGGCTATGTGGTCAAATTTAAATGCGATGCATTGATTACTGGACGTTACGTTCCAGCTCCCACAAGGGAGGGGAACATGGCAACCGACTGCTCGGGCCGACCGATGCCAGCGAAAGGGGTATGGAGTCGCGGTGCGAGAAAAGGACAAACACCAAATACCATATAACGCTTTTATCTAAACACAAAAATAAATATACATAAATAAACAATAACTTTCTGGGAAAAGGGGAGGGCTGGACGGACCAAAACAAAGATATAAACAAAAGGTCCCCAACCCTAACCTGTACTAACCCCCAATAGAAAATACAATCTTTACCTGGCACACGGTCAAGGCGCCCTAACCAAACTGTGAACAAAGGAGGAAACAAATAATTAGTTGAAAGGACACAAACAAACAATTGCTCCTTCCTGCTGCTACACGTTCCAAAAGGAACACAAGTTAAGTTATTTAACACAAACTATCAAAATCTCCCCACACAGGGTACAAACCAAAGACCAAGTCACAGCATATGCAGCGAGAGCGAACTGGTCCAAAACCGGGCTTTTTAAAGAGCCCAGCCAGCTGCGACCACTGACGAGGGGGTAGAGCGCCGGGTCGCAATCCTACCTGGAAAAAAAACACACACACACACACACACACACACACACACACACACACACACACACACACACACACACACACACACACACACACACACACACACACACACGGAATCATTATACGAACCCAGAACTCTGGGGACGTTACACTGAACAACTTGCTCATTGGAACTTTTATATGGCAACTTGTCAACAGGGTGGATGGGCTGCAGTCCAAACCCGCTTCCTGGCTTTGAAAAGCTATAAAAGTTCTGTTCTGGTGGCAATCAGCCTGACAGAGGACAAGCTGACGCTTTCCACTGAGCAGAGGAACGAGGTCCTTGAATCCCGGAATGCTGTGGAGGAGCACGACAAGCAGCCGCAGCAGTTCAACCAGCTGTACAGAACTCACTGGGGCAACACCCTCTACTGCTGCTGTGATTCAGAGGCTTAAGGTGGCTCAACGCACCGGCTCAACAGGACATCAGTGCTCAACACAACAGGCTGATGTACACCCTGATTAAACTGCTGTGGCTGCGCTTCCCTCAAGGGTCTCGCTGCAGTCCCGAGAAAAGCACCATTCTTAAGGCGTACGAAAGAATCCAGCACCGGATTCTGGGGGAGGATCCGATCCTCTGCAAGGCCGGCATTCCTCTGCCAAAGATCAACGTCAAAACTGTGCAGGACTTCATCCGGCGTCAGGAGCGCCTCCTGAACATGAATCCCACAAAACAGTCCTCTACTGTAACGAAGATCACCTCCATTTCATCTGCTGACCTCCCTCGAGCACTAGACCAGCCGTCAGTCCTCCACCACTCTACCCTCTGATGGAGTACGGGGCCATCCCCAGCACAGCAGGGACTACGGTGTTGAAGGAAAGGACGGACATGATGATGGCTCTCTTCCGGCCTCTACCACCACTGCAACTCCTGCAACCGCTGGCGGCTGTAAAAAAAAAATCCTGCCACCTCCACCATCTCCAGACCTGTACCCTCCATGTCCAGCTCCGCAGCCGACACGGAGTGCGCTGGCCCCTCCACTCGGCCAATATTGCCTGCAAATCCTCCTGCATCACTGCCATCTCTGTCCACAATGCCTACTGCTTGTGATTTAAGTTCGCCATCCTGGGCAAGATCCACGCAGTACAAGCGAAAGAGTATGGAACATCCCTCTGCAGTTGGAGTCGAGGTGTCGCGGGTGCATAAACTCCCTCTCTGTACATGACACTTCTTTTTGTGTAGGTAATATGTTAAATAAATTACCTATACAAGTAGTTATGTCTCATTGTATTAATTTGTCTTGTTATTGGCATAGCCTAATGCGCAACCATAAATTCAATTATATGTGTTATTTTAATGGGAATATTCAAACATCATTTTTTGAGCAATTTTGACCACGATACGCCCACTATACACCAGATGTCTTAGTTCACCCTGAACCAAAACGTTTCCGAGATACTGACAATGACGAATCAGGTGACACAAGCAGACAACATCTGCCGCTGTTCGGTGAACACAAACACTCCCGTGTAGGCAAACCAGTAGGTTCAAAAACCAGTAGGGACGTAACACCGGCAGCAGGAGTTGAGGCCGTCCTGTGGTTCCGTCCTCTGAGGCCAAACACTGCGTCTGAGATCCCGTTGGTATTCCACCGAGCAACAGCGCCCATCAGGTGAACTTGAGGGGGCCGTGCTGCACAACGGGGACCTGAGAAAAGGAAAAACTTTAATGCCAATTTGTCTTGATGACTCCACACAAGAAAACAGCTGGAACATAAAGACAACCACCATATTAACACGTTCATAAGTTATGTATCACGCAACATAATCTTCATTCATTTATTAAATGCTTCACACACCAAAGCCATGGTGTCTTTTCATTTATTGTACACTTGATGGCGAAGTAGAGAAAATAAAGCACCATGAAACTGAGTCTTCCAGAGACTTGATGCAGAGGAGCACAAAAACTGCTTCTCCCATCCCAGATTAAATCACTATGATAGGTTTTTCCTTTGACATGTTATCAGGGGAGAGCGCGAACGCAGTCCCCCACTACCAGAAATTATGCAATCGAGATTCCCACATTTGGGGAATTCGCAGAGGTCAGCTCAACCGGAGTGCAATGGCTAAGCCTCGCCCTGGGTGAACCACCTTCTTGATCATGGTATCTCCCTTGCCAGGTAAGTATGAGTTGTACACATCAGAGTCAGGGCAGTCTTTCACACACACACCAAGCTGACCGATGGTGCCGACCATCACGACAACAACAAACACACACTAGAAGAGCTCCAACAACCTGCAGGAAGTTCATGTAGAGTAAAGTCGTATTCACCAGGGAGGACAAAGATAATATACATTTTACTTGATAAATGATGCTCTCATTTCCCATGATGCAATGCTGTATTTTTAAAAGAAAATATAAAATCGCCAGCTGTATCCATTTATCTCCAACAAATGAGTGACAATTTAACAGAAGGTTCACACGAGACAAAGCAAAACTGCAATCAAAAGTTATTTGATCCTCATCTGGAATTCAAAGGAAAGAATACAATTACAAATGCGTTCTTTCATTTCAACCACTCCCTGTTCCTTTGTTTACTGCTTGTGCTCTACTGACACCTATTGGTCTGGAGTAGTAGTCACACTACACGTTTCTCATAAATACAATTCAATTAAGAACTGGACATGATTGTGTGACACCCACCAATGTGTTTACACACGTGTGTCAATGTCTGAAGTGAACAGTATATTGTATAGAAATGTTATAACCAGGGAACTGAAATACCTTGTTGTATGGAATAAAGATTCCATCCTGTAGCCAGCAGGGGGCAGAGTGGCGCTCTGTTTTGCTTTAGACTGGCTTTACGGCAGTGAAAGAATTTGCGACCGCAACGTCACGAGTGACGTTTCCTCATTCTGCTGAGCGAGGCGCAATGACAGACCTGTAAGAGCTGTGTGTCATTTGTGTGTCCGGTCTACAGAATCACATCATCTACTTGGTACGAATCCTGGTACCTGTAAAAATTACCTCCATGATGACTGATTGTTGTGTGTTACATTAGATACAGATCAGACATATTGAAGAAATGACAACTGATAATTCAGCTATTTCTTAATAAAACCGCGGACATTCTGTCTTGATGCCGTAGACACATACATCAACTATCAAATACACCAACGCACACTGTTACTGGGGAAGTTGTTTTAGACACGCTTGGGGGGTGCACCGTTCCTGGAGGTACTGCAATACCAGGTCGATGCGTGGAGTGGACGGAGCAAGCCCCTATTCCATCTCCCTATTCCAAAAATCAATTTAATATATGGTCCCCGGGTAGGGGACGTATCAGATATTAAACTGATAAGAACAGATACTACACTTGATCTTAGCCAAAAGGCCGAGAAGCGATAGGGACATCACGTCGGAGATGAGGATGTCATTCCCCTCACTGACACTCTCACGGATGGTTTGCGGACTGAACTACAACTTTATTAACCCCAAATAAAACAACAAGAGTGTAAAATAGCGACAATGTACCACCGGTACGATTTTGTTTGCGACATTCACGTTAAACGTGTGTTTGCAAATGCGTCTCCTTGTTTACTTCCGGACACGTGGTACGCGTCAGTCCAATGCGAAGTAACGTTACAACGCCGATAAATATCACGTCTAACTAGCAGACACAATTAAATATCAATTGTCTTTATAAGAGTATCGGTATATGCTTCCCTAGACGGCGTCTCACACCGACGATGAAAACCCTCCGTGCTCCGTGTACGGAACTCACCCAGAGGACAGAAACCGCGGCCACAACGGAGAGGAGACGTGTGGTTTACATTACACGTGCAGTCCACACTGAAGTTATAAGCCGCTGTAAAAGCAGAATAAGTGCGCAGTAATTACTATGAGTCCCGCTACCTCGACGGGAAAAAGCGCTGTAACAAAGGCGAACAACGTTAGCGGTGTCCACGATACCATCACACATGTGCCTAATTAGGTTTGAGTAAAGTGACATTATTAACCTCCATTATATTCCCATGTAAGCACTGCACTGGCATGTTAGTTTAACTAATAATTAACTAGTACAGCGTGACGGTAACTAACGTGGAGCCGAGTCCTGACGTGTCGCGCTTATCGCCATGTGGTCATGGAGGTGAAGCACCTTCAACCTGCAGTTTTTTCAGCTTCAAGTCACCTTAGACCAAAGCTCATTAATTCACTAGTTAAAACCAACGAGCCATTGATGAATACGAGTGTTGCCACGACCCAGTTTCCATTACGCAGAGTTAAAAACAAAAGACAGTTTAGTTTGATATGCTAATTAGCAGCTAGCATTAGTTTAGCTAACAGTTAGCAAGCTTAATCAAAGAACAGGTGCTGCAGTGAAATAGACCCTTAAATATACGAAAACAAGTCGGCTTCGTTAGAATTGTTAACTTAATAGTGTACACGTTATTATTCCTACAAGAATGGTCTCTTTCTTGAGTCAAAGGGAACTTACTGAAAGTAGTCTTGGTGAACGCTGGTGGGCGACGTGTTCCAGTGGGAGACAGCAGCGGTGTGTTCGGTGCGCTTGACCGTGTGCACAACGAGCTTTAGCTGTTAGCAGCTAGCTTTAGCCCAATTATCTAGACACACCTTTATTTTGAAAGAGTGTTTGAATCGTACTGATTTTATTTTATTTGTTAGTTGTGTATTGATTAAATGCTAATATTATTACAACTCTATCCCTCTATTTAATCCCAATGAGTAGTCATGATCTTTCAGACCTTCAGCTGGGGAAACATGTCTCAGCCTCTCGGACCATCAGCACCGCTTCCCCCCAAGGCTGCGTTCTCTCCCCTCTGCTCTTCTCCCTGTACACCAACAGCTGCACCTCCAGCCACCAGTCCGTCAAGCTCCTGAAGTTTGCGGATGACACCACCCTCATTGGACTGATCTCTGGTGGTGATGAGTCCGCCTACAGGTGGGAGTCTGACCATCTGGTGTCGTGGTGCAGTCAGAACAACTTGGAGCTCAACGCTCTAAAGAC